GATGAATTTGGATGGGTATTTGATTATGCCTGAAGGTAGATCACATGAAGCGAGAGATTTCAATGAATTTCGATGATTATGCCTAAAGGCAAATCGCACAAAGCGAGAGATTTTGATGAATTTCGATGGTTATTGGGTATGCCTAAAGGTGGATCACATGAAGTGAGAGTCACACGAAGTGAGAGATTTTGATGAATTTTGATGGATCTTATAAATTTTGGATGATTTAGATGAAAGAAAGTTTGATGATTAATAACTTTTGGATTTAGACAACTTAAATGAAAGGAACTCGCACAGAAGGATTAAAGATTTTTAGGTAACTTGGGATTTGGATAGATGTTGCAAAGATCTTTGGATTAGGTGCATGCCAAAATTTTTATGAAATAAAATTTAATGAAAGATTTTTGGATAATGAAGGAGATTTGTATGAAAATTCTTAGATGGTTGGGAAGAAAGACTTTTGAATGATTTTGGATTTTCGAAAAGATTTTTGGATGATTTGAAAAAAAGTTTGGATGCTTTAGATGAAAGAGAAAAGGGATGCTATTAAGCTTCTCATTTTGTTTTTTTGTTTTTTTTTTTTTTTTGAATCAAACAAGGATTAGGTGGATGATCACATCATACTTCCGACAAAATTTTGAATGATTTTGGATAATGAAGGAGATTTGTATGAAAATTCTTAGATGGTTGGGAAGAAAGACTTTTGAAGTGGAATTTGTGAGAGTCTAATGGTCTGTTTGGTTTGTGCGACTGGGATGGGAAAATAAGAATATTTTTCAAAGATTTCTATTTTCCCATGTTTGTTTTGGGCGAAAGGGTGAGATGCGACAAGAACACATGCCTCAATTTCTGGGACGTGGGGTCTCACCAAATAAGTGCGACTCTACTGAGAAAGGAAGTTTAGTGAGAAAATTTCATCGAGGGAGGCAACTGAGCGTAGTCTTCTTCTTAGACACCACCCAATAGTTTACTCACTAGCGGCATCTCTGGTTTTCATTGCCAAAAAACAGCTTTTAGCTTCCGATGTCCAACGGTTTTCATTGCCAAAAAATGGCTTCCGACATCTACCTCTCTAAATTTTGTGTCGTTCTTCCATAGCCACCACTACCACCACCACCATAAGCACTACCGAGGTATTGGGTCCTGATTAGACGAGCAGATTGTTCAGAGCGTGACGAAGCAGGAGATTGCCAAATTTTGGAGGCAAAAGTGCATGGAGGAGGAGGATCACCTCCTTGCTGCTATCATGGTCGTAGCTCGCATCAGAGCCTGTAATCTCACCGTAAGATCAAATTAACTGATAACTTTCATTTCTTCTCCCTTGAACAAATTAGTCTCAGCAATCAAACACAAGCAAAGTTCAAAGTTTAGTTTTTAGTTTTTTTTTTCAAAATTTAGTTTTTTGGGAAACTTATAAGATATTTTTATTATTAAAAAAATTGGGAGTCCGAAACGCCTGGAAATAGGCATTTTGGACCGTATCTTTTTCAAAAGTTACGATACGATATGCCCCATATCGGGCATATCATATCGATACTTTGAACCATGAACACAGGTGATAGGGTTGAGAAAAAAATTCCCTTCTTATCCCATCCCATCTCATCTTGTCCTTTCTCAGCAACCAAACGGAAATGTAAAAGGACCAAAATGAGATTTTGTTTTTAGAGAACAAAATGGGTAAATTCTAGGTAAAGCCTGTGCAACTTTTGATATTTTATTTAATTTTTTATTTTATTCTATATAGACAGTTTTTTTTAAGCCAAGACTGAAAGCAAAGCTCAAAATATCGATACGCCTGATACACCAATATGGGCGTATTAGGCAAATCAATACTATTTTTTTTTAGTTTTTTTTTAAAACCGATTCAGGGGAGTCGGTTTAGATCTCCTCCATCCCCTGAACCGGTCAGACCCCCGATGCACCCACTATAAGAATGTATCGATAGGATCCCAAAATGATACGTATCGACCAATACGTATTCGATAATTTGAACGTTGGTAAAAGTATATTTCATTTACGAGAGAATGGGTAAAAAAGTTGGCGGTGGATTTTATTATCCGTATATATTTACTTATAGCGACGAAAATAATTCATCCGTCGATATATGGCATGGCGAAAAGGTTATTGGCTTATCGCAAGCCCAAAAAGGCAAAAATTGAGCCAACCACTCAGCCATGTAGAGAGAGGGCGGGGCAGTGAGGTGAGTGAATATCCATTATCCAAATTTAATAGTGGTTTAAATTCAATTAAAAAATTTAATATCTAGTGGACATTAAAAATCAATATCCAACTTTGAATTTAATTATAAATTTGAATATTTGATTTAATTCAAATTCAATCAATTAATTATTTTAAATAATTAATAAATACATAAAATAAATATTTATTTATATAAAATATATAAATAAAATAAGCAGAATTTAAATATTTATCGAATTGAATTAAATCACATCCAAAATCGATTCAATTATTTAAACGATATAAATAAGATATCCAAACTTAAGCTATTATAGTATTCAAATAATTAGGGCGGTGGGTGTGGTTAGGAATTTGACTTAAAACTAATAAAAGATTCTTATCCGTACGTATTTCTTGAATTTATTTTTCATACATCAAATTCAACATATAATGCTATTATAGTCTGCGTTTTTGGTTGCAATCTAAATACAAATATGTACGATGGATATTTGTCCATTTTTTTGTTCATGAATGCAAATATGGTTTACATTTTAAATTGTTTTTGCATTTATCTTGTTTGTTTGGAATTGGTACAAAGTATGGGCCCACCATTAAATGATTCAACTATCTTATGCTCCAAAGCATTAATTTTAACAAAAAAAAGTTAATTAGGGGGTGTTCCTTAGTGTGGATGAGAAATTGGTGGGTGTGGACTAGTCCACACCACATCCTATGACAGGGACCATGGTTTAAAGTATTGATACGATACACCCCGTATTGGGCGTATTGTATCGTATCTTTTGAAAATGATATGCTCCAAAATGCCTATTTCTAGGTGTTTCGGAACCCCGACTTTTTTTAATAAAAAAAAATTGTTTTTAGCTTCCCAAAAAACCAAAATTTGAAAAAAAAAACTAAAAAAAAAGAGTTTCGGGCGTTTCTAAGTACCGATACGATATTGTTGATATGTGTATTGTATCGATACTTTGAACCTTGGCAGGGACCAATTCACACCACACCACAGTTCAAAGTTATTCTGACCTGTGGACAAATTGTGTGGTAAAAAAACATTGAATGGGGCGATGGGGCAATGGTTTGACCGCTTGGGTCAACGGGTTGTTAACTTTTTCAATAGTTTTTTTGCCAAAAACTGGGTTTGGGTAAAACGAACCGCTTGCCTAGACAGTTCCTAGGCCGACTGGGTCAACGGTGGTTTGAAAACCTTGATCTACATAGTTAATCATAAAATATCTAACTTTTGCATTTTATATGATAAATATATTGAAAATGCATCAATGAATTAACATTAACCAATAAATATTATTTTTTTATAAAACAATAATAAAATAATTAAAATTTTAAAAAATATATTTAAAATATTATTTTATTGATAAAACATAAAATTTTAAAAAAATTAAAAAATTAAGTAAAATAATTAATATTTTATTGACAATAATATTAAAATGTGAAACAGACAATAGGGTTTCAGCCTTTCAGGAAAGTGTGAAGTAGGGGATCAAAAATCAAGTGCAAACGGTCCCTAACCACGAGATTTTGCCTTGGATGAGAAATCGGGGTGTGGACGGGTGTTCATCCCATAAACGGTCCTATCCATGAGATAAACACAGTGTCGAACACCACCTAAAATCACATAAAATTATATCCAAAAAATAGGTAGAACAATACTATCTTCTCAAAGTACAAAAGTGTCAAAAAATACATTTTTATCTAATAATCATTATTTTTTTTATATGTTAAACAAACCAATTTATAATAATTTTATAAAATAATAAAGATGAGGTAATTTTTTTTGAAAATATCAAGGAAGGGCAATGATATTGTTCATCGCCTTCCTCTTCCTCTCTATTCGGATTTGAAACCTCGATGAAGGATGCATTAACGGTGGTTCTCGCGAGAAATGGCGTCATCCCACTTCTAATATACCTATTGGAGAACAACGGTTCTCGCGGGAAAAAGGACACACTAATGTCTCTTTATTCGCTGTGTTCGGTCGACAGATTACCGACGCTGAGAGAGATGCCTCTTTATTCGCTGTACATCATCTCTTACCACTGTCCAGAAGAAGAGCGGTTCTCACGGTTCTTACCGCCTCTTTCCCGATACTGTACATCATCTCTCAATCGCTGAGAGCAAGACTGAGAGAGCGATGCCTCTTTATCGCTACAATGGCGCTGATACTGTATAGCATCTCTTACTGTTGCCGCTGAGAGAGCGAGACAGAAAGAAATGACGTCGTCGATGTGTTTCCGTTCTCTTTTTTGTTTGGGTTTTTGAGTGCAAGAGACTAAAAGAGAAAAGACAAAGGGCAGAGGAAGACAACGAAAAGAAGAAGAGGAAGGCGATGAATTCTTTGATATTTAAAAAAAAAAAATGTTACCTAATTTTTATTATTTTATAAAATTATTATCTTTTATTGATATTGAGAATAAAATGTTGCCCTCTTATTTACTAGAAACAAACAAACAAAAAAAAAAGAACATAAGCGTAACGACAAAAAACGAACTCTCTTCATCCACAATAAGCGTAACAAAAAATAAGAAAAAAAAAGATTGCTCTCTCCATCCATCTCTCTCGACAACGAATTCACTCATGATTTCACAACATATTTCCGCCGTGCATTGTGACATCTCCCAATAATTATATCAGACCCGATGATATTGTGGGAAGCGCACAGATCTGAACTCCTCACTCATTCGTTTCCTCCACGTGCCATCCGTGGGACAAATTTTGCATCCGTAGCTCGTGGGATGGATGACGAAGTGTTACAAGAGAGTTGTCGAGTCCCTATAAATAATAGCAGTCTACCCACTACCACCACCAGCCGTGGCCGGAAAATGGCAGCGACCATCACCGACCGCCTGTTTACTACTCGCATAGCCAGTGGTCGTCTTCTTTACAAGCTCTACTTCATCGCCTTCATTGCCGGAATCTTTTCCCTCTGCTACTACCGTCTTACCCATATCCCATCCGACCACCCCATACTATGGCTGCTCGTCTCTCTCGCAGAATTCTGGTTTGCAGCCACATGGGTCTTCCAACAAGGCTTCCGCTGGGCCCCCACGTTCCACGTCACATACCCTGATCGCCTTCCGTCCAACCTTCCCCCGGTGGACTTGTTCGTGTGCACCGCCGACCCCGACAGAGAGCCACCGATGCTTGTGGCTGACACACTTCTTTCACTCATGGCTTACGATTACGATGCTAACAAGCTAGCCTTCTATCTTTCCGACGATGGTGGATCAGAATTGACATTTCACGCTATCTACCAAGCTTCCTTATTTGCAAAACACTGGCTGCCGTTCTGTCGAAAGTACAAAGTCGAGCCACCAGCTCCACAAGCATATTTCTCGGCTGAAAATATGGATGTCGGCGGTGGTTGTCAGAGTTTCCGGCGGGACTACGATCTGGTGAAGGTATATAATATATTGATTTCTCATGTTCGTTTTTCTTAGTAAATGTTTACATTTTTTTAGTTACTAATCAAGGGTTGTGGATGTCGGGAACGACTGTACTACCACTACGGATCTGTGGCCAGCGTTTTGTGGTCAGCAGATCGGAATACAATGTAGAGACCGGATCTGCTCCTCACGTATGGCGCCTCACACCGACCTCACAGGCATATCTCACCGTGCATTGAACATCTTCCATATTTACATTTTATTATTTATGGGAAATATTCTCCGGTGGGATGTGCCTGTGAGGTCGGTGGTGTGAGGCGCCTTGGGTGTGGAGCAGATACAATAAAAGCATAAATGCGATAGACGGGTTTTATTAAGAAGAATTGGGGAAAGAGTTTTATAATATTTTCAGTTAGTTGGTTCATCTAAGTCTAATTTAAATATTTTTTTTTCGGTGTCTAGTTTATTTCATTATAATTTAAGTTGCATTTTAGTGCAAATGGATAGTTTCACATACTCTACATAAATTTATATTATTTTTTGTCTTATTTAAAAGTTCCATCGTGCAAACAACTCCATACCTTGTGACAACGATTAAACACTAAACTAATGAAGTAGACAGCCCTGTAGGCCTGTCAATGATGTTCAAAAATCCGAGGCCTAATCCAATTATTCTGAATTCAGATGATGTAATCGCTGACTGGATTAGTTTAAAACCCATTGAAAACCGACTGATTGGCTGGTTGAACTAGAAAACTGGTGAACTAGTCCCGATTTCATGAAATTGACCGGTCTACTTTAGAATGTTGTTACATGATTTGAATCCAGTACCTCTTATTTTCATTGATAACTTAATTACCACTAATTCATTTTTTTATTTATATAAATTAATTACTACTTATTATACATATTACATTATTATGCACGTATTTAAAAAAAATGTAAGTCAAAAGGCTTGAACCCTAGTCATTTGTTTTAAAAATTAAAAAGCTTACCATCCATCCACCATATTTAAATACATTAAAAGTTATAAAATATATTATATATGGTATTTATATGATTCGTAATATATATGTATATGCCACATCATCACAATTCGACCCTAGTCGAACCTCTGACCTGTGAACCTCTCCTTTCTCCGGTTCTATATCGGCCCGGTTCTCTAAACATTGGATGTTACAATCTACATCCAATTAATAATAAGATCGGATTCGAATTTAATTAATCTCATTTGATTTGATTAAAATCCAAATCCAATTATATTATAATAATTATTAATTTTAATATATAAATTTTATATAATTATATTTAAATTATACAAACATATTCTATATATTATATTATATATATAATAAATTTAGTATGTTATATTTATATTAATTTATTATATATAAAAGTTGAGAAATAAATAAATGTTTTAATTTTTCTGTTATTTTAGAAAATTTATAACATAATTGGATTAAATCTTAATGAATTCGAATTTGAATTTGAGTCTTTAAATCTGATCGGATTTTGGATTGGATTACAATCGTAAGTCCTAATTAGGACTGACAAGAGGGCAGGTTTGGGGCAGGGATCATATTCCCCGTCCCCAACCCCGATTCTGATATTAACCCCCATCCACGTCTTCGATCCCTATCGGGGATAAAATTTGTCCTCCATCCCCGATCCCGATTCTGATATTAACCCCCATTCACGTCTTCGATCCCCGTCGGGGATAAAATTTGTCTTCCATCCCCGATCCCGATTCTGNTCCATCCCCGATCCCGATTCTGATATTAACCCCCATTCACGTCTTCGATCCCCGTCGGGGATAAAATTTGTCTTCCATCCCCGATCCCGATTCTGATATTAACCCCCATCCACGTCTTCGAACCCCATCGGGGATAAAATTTGTCCTCCATCCCCGATCCCTGACGGGGATGGGTTCCTCATGGGGATTGGAATCCCTGAAAATTTTTAGATGACAATATTTTTTTGAAAAATAAATTTACTTAAAATAAATAAAAAATTTAAATTATAAATAATGTTTTAAATATATTTTGAAATATATATATATATATATAATATAAATAATATAATAATACATATTTAAAATAAATAGCATTTAATATATATGTACATATATAATCAGAATCAAGGCGGGGAAGGAACCTGAATCTCCATCCCCAAACCTGATTCCGATCGGGGGTTCTATTAATCCCTATCTAGGGATACAAACGGATCGGATCGGATTTGAATTAGGGTATATTCGAATCCGGTCCGATATTGTTCATGTCGGATCCGATCCAATCAGATCTGATAGGACTCTATTCGAATTCGAATCCAGTAGGATCTTTGGATCTAATTCAATTCGAATTGTTTTCTTTAAAAATCAATAAATTATTAAAAATAAATAAAATATACCAATTTAAATAAAAAAATTAAAATAAAAGTATTTTTTAATTATTTTCATCATATAAATAATATAACAAGTTTATAAAAATACAATATAAATAATATATTTATAAATAAATAAATAATATATATATATATATATTATATTTATGTTTTTATTTATATTTATAAATATATAAGATCGAATAAAAGATAATCCGAATCCATTCAATTTCTAATCGAATCATAAGATCTAACTAAGGATGATTCAAAATTGAACAAATAGGATAGGATTGGATCATGCATCTGGGTTTGGAGAAAATTGCCATCCCTATTCCCAATTACCAACCACCAACGTGCAGTGCGTAAGCGGCTATAGAAAACAACTCCGGATCTCCATGTGCTTTGTAGTTTTCGTGGTGTTACCTCCTCTAAAAGAAACGGGTGATTCTTTTTTTTCTTTAATTTAAAAATAAAATTATAATAATAGATTTCTAACTTCAGTTAATGAGACGCTATGTTTAAACCCAGATGCCACGTGTCAAAACTTGAAAGGAGTTAACGGCCAACAATTTTCTGCTGTTATGGGTGGATTGGGTCAGATAAAAACCTTTTATTTTTTAATTAAACCTTAGTCTGAGAACATATAACTGTGGCATGTGCCCCCCAAAAAATTGTTAGGTCCACCCAACAGTTAGTCCGGCTCTATGTTCAAGAATATTGGCTTGTTAGTATTTTGTTTGGAGTTTAGATCTGCTAACAACAAATGCTATGGTCCGTTAGGACTACACTTATTCATGGACTACACTTTGGTTCGGGCCTAAAATATAAGGTTTGATCTTTTTTTTTTATGTCGGGTTCAGGCTTTTTGAAGAAAACTTAGTCCGAGTTTAAGCCCGACTTGATAATATATATTAAATAATAAATATATATTTTATTTAATAAAAATATATACAATATTTTTTTTTGTTTCTCTTTTCTTTTTTTAAGTAATAGTGAGATCTTTTATTATTTTTTAATTTTGAAGGTTTTTAATAAAATTAAAACACTTTTTTATTGAATAAAAAAATTCTGTTTTCAAATTTCTGGTCATGTCCAAGCTCAAACCTGGGCTTCGGGCTTTATATGAAGATCGGGCTCAGACTCAAGACCTAGGCCCGATAGTTAGGCTGTTGATACATAGACAAAGCCTGATCCAAATCCAACCTGGCCCACGAACAGGTCTAGTTAGGACTGTATTGGGAACATTTTTATGAGTAGAAGATTCCTACCCTTCTGTTTGACACTCAGGCTTTAAGGACTCAAATCCCTTTCCAGAGAAAAAAATGTATAATGTTGGAAAGACATATACCGTAAAGGCTGTAACCAATCAGGCAATCAATGGATACCGAATCAGCTCCCCACAAGACTGCCCCCCACAACGTCCCACAGCACATCCCCACCATGTATTAGGAACATCTCCCGATGATAACATCATCATTCCTAGTATTATCATCGGGAGATGTTACCAATACACAGCGGGTATGTGCTGTGGGATGTTGTGGGGGGCTGATTTGGACTCATCACAATTTCCCCCTCAGCCCTACAAATTTTGGTGAAACCCACCTTATTGATTCTTATTTTCATGGTGCCAGTTGATCAGTTCTAAGGCCCCGTTTGGTTCACGGGAATAGGGGTCTGGAATCGGAATTAGAATGGGTTATTCTAATTCTAACTGTTTGGTTGGGTAGAATCGGAATCCCATTCCCATTCCTGCAGGAATGGCATTTCCCCATTTGAGGGAATGACCATTCCCTACCCCTCCCTTGGGAATGAAATCCCATTCCTGATGATTTTAATTCCCATTCCAATTCCTATTCCTGTCTGAACCAAACAGACTATGGAAATGGACCATTCCGATTCCAGAAAATTTTGATTCTGATTCCAATTATAGTTCTAACTACGAACTCCATTATCATTTCTTTTCGACATCATAGTCGAATCCCTTTATTTAACCTATTGAAAATTGGATATTATTATAGTTTTGTTTTTTTTCAAAGGGCTACAGAACGGAGATAGCCCATGACCTTATCAACCTTCCAATTGGCACCTTACGCCTGGCACCATTCTTCCTTATTTATCAGAGTCCCGAATTTTAAGCTTTACATTTGGGGCTTAAAAGTGTTTTGACCACATTTATGTTTTACTAAAGATACTTCTCATCAAATGCTCAAAGCACTTTTTTTCTGCTCAGTTTTATTTCCCACAACCCAAAGCTTAAAAGTAAAAATAGATCCTTAATTATTTATATATTCTTAATGAATCATTCTAAGGTACTAAGGTGGTGCTTTTTGTTGCAGAAATGGACTCTTCAATTATTTATTTATCTGTTAATTGTTTACTTATTTACACAGTGGCTTGTTTATTGGACAGGCTAAATTTGAAGAGATGCAAAATCGTATAAAAATCGTGGGGAAATCAAAAAAAGTGCCAGAGGTAACTCGGAGAGGGCACAAAGGGTTCAGGGAGTGGGACTCTGAGATCAATCCTCGTGACCATCAGACCATACTTGTGGTTGGTTTACTTCTCTCCTTTTCCCAATGTAACTTGACAGCTGGCCTGGTTTGTGCTTGATTGGGTTCAAATATCCAGCCTTTAGCTTGGGCTAAGGTAGTTAGGTTTTTGTGCCTGTCTGTTGTACTTATCTATTATTACTTATGGGAGATATTTTAAATTCATGATGGACGGGTGGAATACACTTGTGAGGTCGTTGGGAGGCGCCCTGTGTGAGGAGCATATCCTAATTCCGTTTGGGAGGGGTGAAAGGTAGTGGTCTCTCCTTTGAAAGGCGGGCCTCATGTGGACGGACAAAAAATTACCTTCTGTTGAGAAATATAAGATAGCACAAATCAACAGCTCGACCAACTTAGCTGAAACTACAGCTCGACCCTCCCAAACAGGCCTTTAGATTTGGTTTTTAATTTTTAGCCTTATTCATCCCTCATCCGGCTAAGTTTGCCCTTCCCGTGTGGGCCCATTGTTATAAATATGACACATCACATCAACCACAAGCTTGGATGAACCATTTTCTTTTGACTGTTACAACTTACAAGTTAAACAAATGAGGTCCCATTACTTGAATATACAAATACAATTCCTTTTATTCAACTCTATTTATTGTTTTCTTTTAAGGGACCGTTTGAGGAAAGCTGAAGTATATATTCTGAATGAAAAAGAATGGCAATGGAGAGGGCCACTAGTAATTACAATTCTCATTCCCATTATTGCTTGAACCAAACAGACTATGGAAACAGACCATTCCAATTCTGATACCAAAAGATTTCGATTTCGATTTCGATTTCGATTCCGATTCCGATTCCGATTCCGATTCCGACTATGAGCCAAAACAGACCTTTAATGCCAAATCCATTGTCAAATTATGTGTGATTAAATCATTTCTTACACTTCCACCCAAATAATTTCTTATTCTTCTAATCCCTTTAACTTGTAATAGATCACTTCATCTATGGACATTATAGACGGTATTGTATGCACATGACCAAACCACCTCAATCTACTTTTTATCATTTTATCACCTATGGGATCTTCTCTTAGGTCTACGACTTCATTTCTTACTATATCTTTTCTAATTTTACCATGGTTTTTAAAACCGACCTGGTGGCCAAACCGGTCAGGGGTCCAGTTACCAGTTTGAACGGTCCGGCTGTTCAACCCGTTTTGAAAAAAATAAAAAAAAAATTGAAAAACAGTCAAAACCCATTCGCACAGTTAACTGGCCGGTTCAGTGGTTTGCTGACCAAAATCAACGGTTTTAGAGAAAAAAAAACGATTTTGGGGAAAAACGGAACAGGTCAAATGACCGGTTCCCGGTTTTTCTGGTCCAACCGTCCGATCTGGTCTGGTTTTGAAAACCATGAATTTTACCACTCATCTATAGCACAAATTTATTTTTCTAGTTTTACTTCTATTAAATGCACTATCTTATTTCTTTGTTCTAATGCCTATTGATGTTTCTTTAGGTTCTGTTACAAGGGAACGGGAAGGATGTTGATGTGGAAGGTAAACCAATGCCAACACTTGTATACGTGTCAAGAGAAAAACGGTCCGGTCACCCTCACCACTACAAAGCTGGCGCCTTGAATGCCCTGGTATTTTCTCTTAAACTGATAATTTATGGACATTAAATTGAATTTTTGTCAATTAGACAAAACCAGAGAAAAACAAAATGAGTCATGGTTTTACCTGTTAAATAGTCAGTTAAGCTGTTCAACCTGTAAAAACCATGGCTTTCGAAACTGGATCGGACTGGATGATTCGACCAGAAAAACTGGGAACTGGTCAGGTGACAGGTTCCGTGTTACCCTTGAACCGTTATTTCGCCAAAAACTATTGATTTGTTCAGTAAATTACTGACCCGAGTGGTCAAACAGTCTAAATTGTTTGAACCATCCAATGGTTTTAGTTGTTTTTTAATTTTTTTTTTGTTAGAATGGACTATCTATTCAGTTTGAATGATTGGACTGTTCAACGGGGAACCGGACCCCTGACCGGTTCATTGTCCAATTTTATTTTAAAAACCTTGGAAAAAAACCTTAAAAAAAAGGACCTTATGAGTTAACTGTGGTTCACCAAGCCAATGTCCGGTCCAAGTCCTACAACATTGTGAAATTGTTTCTTATCATCTCTGTTTTCTTGCATGCCATTGCCATATTGTGGACAATGAAGCATGGAGAGGGGTGGGGTTTAAGGACATTTGTCAAAACCAATTCGGATACTGTCGATCCAATGGTCCCATGTTCGTTTTAAATTCGAATCAAATCAAGATATTGGATATCCGAATTTGATTCAATCTAAATTAATTTTAAAAAAATTAATAAATTATTAAAAGAAAAAATATAACTGTTTAAATAAAAAAAACAAAAAATACTTGTATTTTTCAATTATTTTCATCAATATATATACAATTTTTTTGTAAAAAAATAAATAGTATAAAATATTTACAAAAATGTAATATAAATAACATACGTATGAATAAATAAATAAAATATGTAAATATATATTATATATAAATAAATAAATACATAACATATATATATGAATATGATTTAGTTATTCGACCCAATCCGAAAATCCAAAGCAGATATATCCAAATCGAACAATATAAGATCGGACTTCGGATTGGATTGGATCATGATCCTATCCATTTGCACCCCTACATAGAGAGTTGTCATTGATTCATTAGACCGTCGAACAGTTATTATGTTCAACTAATCCTCACTCTGTCAAAACCTTAGGATTACAAGCCCATTGCCCGATTTGATGAATTTAAACTACATTGGGCTCGGGTTAGGGTTAAGGCCCATTAAAAATTTAACAAATTCTCAAACGAACCCAACCCAAATTGCACCCTTAGAAAACATTTAAAAGAATATGATTTAATAATTTAAGAAAATAATTACGTAATTAATATATTTGATGTTTTCAAAACTCAGCATGTAATGTCCTTGAATAGCCCAGTTCATCCAAAATATATTTTCCTAATAAAATCACATTTTCACTGTGAATTTTACTAGCATCTCCTTTGAAAATTTTGAATATATTTCTTTTTCACAGAATCGAGTTTCATCATTGATGAGCAACGCCCCGCTAATCCTCAATGTTGATTGTGATATGCACTCAAATAACTCACAAGCGCTACGTGATGCTGTATGCTTTTTCTTGGACCCCAAAGAAGGCCATCGCATTGGTTATGTTCAATTTCCTCAGAGCTTCAATGGTGTCACAAAGAATGATTTGTATGCTAATGGTGTCAAGAGAATTTATGAGGTGAAAAACACATCAAATGGGTTTTTTTGTTTTTATTTTTCCTCCATTTTTCTGATAAAATTTAGTGGCTTTGTATAACATGAATGTTTTTGTTTTAATTCATTTTTGACAGGAAAAAAATTGAGACAGAATTGTGTTTTTGTTTTGAGAAGAATAAATAAGTTGATTTTGTTTTGAAAAAGGGAAAATCTAAAATACCGAAAAGATATGGTATGGAAAGAGTTTTGACCAATAAAAACCCACCCATGAATTTTCATAAATAGCACCTTATTCACTATCACGTATATGATTCCAATTTATTGGTCAGTTGTTTTTCAGATATCATATCTTTTCTATATTATAGTCGAATCATTTGAAAAATCATGCATGTTTTTTAAATCATCAAAACGATAGTTTCTAAAATGAGGACAATGGAGGTATTTGATACAGTGGCATTGTGTTTTTGTTGCGTTTTGGGTTGATTAATATAAATTTATGAGAAATATGTGTTGCCACTATACTGAACACTCTGATATGTTTTGAACAAGGTTCAAAGTATTGATACGATATGCCCGATATGGGGCGTATTGTATCGTATCTTTTGAAAAAGATACGGTCCGAAACACCTGCACCTCCAATTTTTTTTTAATAATAAAAAGCATGCTAAAAGCTTCCCAAAAAACCAAAATGTAAAAAAAAAGATAAAGTTTCAGTCGTTTCTAAGTACCGATATGATACGACCGAAACTCGCTCGTATCGTATCGATACTTTGAACCTTGGTTTTGAAAGTTATTTTTTGTTTCAAAAACTCATGCAATTTTAAGGCAGATGTTTTGATTTGTTTTTGAAATTCAAAAAATAAAATCCACATTAGAGAACTTCCCTTTATGTTTTAATATTTTCTTCTTATTTGGCAGATTGAGTTTTTTGGCACCAATGCACACAATGGTCCCATGTATGCTGGAACAGGTTCAGTCCATCGTCGTGAATCTCTGAACGGGAGGAAATTTGACCCTAATTTTCCAATTAAGTTGGAAGACAAATCAGGTATGAATTGCACTTAGTTAAGAACTAAAGGTTGTGTTTGGAAACGATGTAAATAAGTATGAACGCAAATATGTAGAATGTAAAATGATTCATATAAATAGCAAAGTTGGTTAGTTTTGCATTGATAAATTTACCTTCTTACAAAACAGACTTTTAACTGTAATGGATGCAAATGCGAATTCCAATAAAACATATGCCTTTTTTTATCAAAAGCTCACTTGAATGCAAATTTACTTTCTTTTTATTGATGTATTTTTACATCTTATTTCTATCAGTGTCAATGCATAAATGTAATATTGCCAAATACAAAAAGTGAACCAGAGTGCAAATTTACCCTGAACCGGGATTTACAGTCCACTTTCATCGTTTCCAAACCTAGCCTAAAGAAATGTTTGTGCTTCAACCCAAAGAGAAATCAAAATAAGTATAGCAGCATTGAGGAAATTCTATTACCTGATCTCACATTTTGTCTCTCTATGTTGATTGAATGTAGTTAAAGGAAGCAAAAACTGGACTGAGTTGGAAGAGAAAGCAAAGGAACTCATAAGGTGTGACTACGAGATGGGCAAACCATGGGGCAAAGAAGTATGCAAAAAAGAATCTCCATTGTCCTTATACTTTGATTTCTCATTTCTCTTTAGTTATTTCTATTGAAAATGTTTTCATTCACTTTTATTTTTTATTTTTGCTCAAAACAAGTTAACAACTATTTTCCTTCTTATTTCTTGTAAAGCAGGGCCATCTCACTGGCCAAACTGGAAACCTGGTTCAACAACAAACCCGGTCCATGCATCCGGTTCTTGCTCCTAGACTAATGCTTTAATCAGGACTGCCTACAAAAATGTTGTCACACTTGAACCAGAAACAACAGTTTTGGACATTGGGTCAGAGGTGGTTCGACCCATTCAGAAAATTATACATAGTTTCAAATATCAATTAAAGCTATTTTATGCCACAACAAACTTAAAACACTAAACATTCTAGCCTTATAAGTAAGGGTGTCAATGGGCCGGTCCTGTCCAGTCCAAAATCAAATTGGATGGATTGGATGGACTAAAAAGAAATATTGGATTGGACCAATCTGGTCCAAAATATTTATTAGATTGGATTGGACCTGATCTCTCTATAATAAATTTATATTGGATTGGGTTAGATTAAGCCAATATCTGGACCATTGATATAAGATAAGAATATAGGTGTCAATCAACCTGTTTGAGCTAAAACCAATCTAAATTAAAACGAATTTGAACAGATTGGATGGTCCAAACATTGAATTGGACCGATCCAAAATGATCTTTAAATTGGATTGGACGTGGCCCATTTGTAATAGACTCACATTGGACTGGATCGGAGTGGACCAAATCCAGTCCAATTGACACCCCTAATTATAGGTATCTCTTCCTGGTGGTTCTGATATACTGAAATGGCCATCTTATATATCCAAAAGTCCATACCACTACTCTACAATCTATATTCGGTTTCACCCCAATCCCAACTAATAATTCTACTGTTAAAAACCTATCTTGATTAGAAACTTGACTCTTATCAGTATTCAAGTGAATTAGAGTAGTTTTGCTTAATCAGTATATTAGATCATTTTCTAAGTTTACATGAATCTTATCAGTATTCAGGTGCTTTAATTAATTTACTTGAGCAAGAGTGATAATATTTGTGTATTCCCCAGATGGGTGTGATGTATGGGTGTGCAGTGGAGGATGTCTTCTCAGGCCTCGTCTTCCACTCAAGGGGATGGCAATCTGTGTTTTGCAGCCCAGAAAGGAAGGCATATTTGGGATTAGCCCCAGTTAACACCAATGATACACTTATCCAACACAAGAGATGGTCTACTGGGTCGCTTGAAATCTTCCTCTCAGACTACTGCCCTTGGACTCATGGAGTGGGAAGGTTGAAGCTAGGACAAATTATGTGTTATAGCTTTTACACTTTATGGGCTCTTTGGTGCTTACCCATGTTGTGTTATGCACTTATTCCTCCCTTGGCAATGGCCAATGGAATATCCTTGTTTCCACAGGTATCTTGCTCTCTCTCTCTTGTTGTGTTGACATTAATCTAAGATTGGACAGGATGGTTGGACCGGAAAAATTGAGAATCGGTCACTTGACCGGTTGCATTTAAGACTTGACAAAAAGTTGACCCAACCTATGAACCCGACCCATCCAAACCCGTAAAGGGTCTCATATCTAGCTACATAAATGAGAGAATGACATGACCCGACCCGATCCGAAAAAATTGGGTTGGGTCATGGGTCAACCCGTTGACCCAATTGTTAGGTCTAATTGGGACTATTTATGCATTGTTAGAAGTTTCCACTCTTTAATTTTTTCTATTTAGCCTTTAGTCTTTATTGTTTACACTTTGAATTGTTAAATGTTCAAGTTTTTTATTATTTTGTATTTGAAATTTTAAGGTTACTTCCTTTAATTTTGGCATTTTTCATGTATTTTTTCTTTATGTTTTTAGATTCCAGTTGTTTTTTGGGATGACCCAAATTGACCCATGGGTCAACCCTAACCCGAACATTTAGGGTTAGGGTTTAGCATTTGACAACCCAACCCGAAATTCAACCCGAAGTGTCTTGACCCAACTCAAACCGAAACCACCCAACCCAATTGCTAGGTCTACCCAAAACTGCTTTTTGATAAAAGAACCATTGATTTGGACAGTGAACCGTTGACCCAGGCAGTCAAAACATCAAACCATTTGACCTGGGAACAATTTTTTTTTTTTTTGTGTTTTATTTTTTTTGTCGAAGCGGTCCATCCATTCGACTTGGAAAATGGACCCCAGAACGGTTCCCTATTTGGTCCAGTTTTAAAAACCTTGCAATCTTGCATTAATCTGTTCCCCTCTTTCCTTATTGCAGGTTACAGATCCTTGGTTTAAGGTTTTTGCATCTCTAGGGATTGCTTCCCATATCTTTAGCCTGGGGGAGCTAATGTGGGCAAAGGGAACCATTAAGATGTGGTGGAATGAAACAAGAATGTGGATGATGAAAGGATCATCTTCTTATCTCTTTTCAGTTATTGTCATAATCTTAAAATCAGTAGGAATCTCTGAAACAGGATTTGAGATTACTAGCAAAGTCATAAATCAAGAAGCTTTGAAAAGATACAACCAAGAAATAATGGAGTTTGCAGTTCCATCCCCCATGTTCATTCCTACAACAACCCTTTCTTTACTCAATTTGTATTGCCTTCTCCAAACAACCCCAAAAATCCTTGAAGTAGGATTAGGGGGTCTTGATCACTTGGCTCTGCAACTTATAATTTCGGGATACATAAGCATAATAAGCATGCCACTGTATGAGGCCTTGTTCTTGAGGAAGGACAAAGGTCGAATGCCTACATCTGTGACCACCTACTCCATCACACTTGCTTTCCTTGTATTTTATTTATCTTCCTTTGTCATGTAACAAGTTTTCTATGTGTGTAGCCTCGTATAATTTGAGAACCAATCAGTGGGAAAGAGGTCATTTAAATTTCAATTTCAGGGTTTGTATGTATGTATTCAAAAATCAAAACCAAAGTTCTTTTTGGTTTTCCTTTTATAGTCATTATGAGATAGGAATGAGGCTAGATATGTTTGGGTGGGTGAGATTGAGATAAGATTGATATGTAATGTTTGAGTTACGAGTGGGGGTTGTCTCTTTCTTCTTCTATAAATTCTCAAGTAATTATCAAATTTTGTAATGTAATCTTTCTTGGCTTTCTTATATTTCACATGGTTTGAATATAAAAGGCCTTTCTTTGTTTTATTTTCATAGTTCCGATATACTATAGTTGCTCAGGTTGTGGTCCCCCCCTAAAATTTTGGTTTAACTTAAGAAAAGATATAAAAATAACATCACAAGGCTTAAACCTGGGATAGGGCCCTCACAAATGGCTTGATGCATCAAGAGAGTGTGTACCCTAGATAAGGAAGTCCTATTGAGAATCAACAGCAAGGTTTTAAAAACCGATCCGGAAACAGAACCATTGTGGCCACTAGTTTCTGGGTCAGTGGTTCGACCATCTAGGTCGAACAGTTTGGACGATTTGATTATTAGGGAAAATATCATTACCTATTCTTAGACTTTTAGTCTTGTATGAGAAAAGAGAGGTTGTCGGATGAGCAAAAAGAAAGAACGAAGAAAAGAAGGAAAGACAAAATGTGGTGTAACCATTTTTGGTCACGTACCAATTTTTTGTGATGTATCAATTTTTTTTTGCTAAGAACCTCATCATTTGACCTACTCCCAGGAGAGGATGGTGGAGCTCCCTGGAGTTGAGCTACTTGGTGACGAGCTCCCTGGTGGTGAGGTACCTAGTGACGAGCTCCCTGGTGGTGAGCTACCTGGTGACGAGCACTCTGGTGGTGAGCTACTTGGTGACGAGCTCCCTGGTGGTGAGCAACCTGGATGGACTCGTCATTTGACATGCTCCTAGGTGGCCTGTAACTCACAAGGTGGTGGAGCTCCCTGGTGTAGCGCAATCCGACTGCCCTCTGCATGAGGTTATCTCCTCTCCTTTGTAGGCGGCAGGAGCTGAGAGACCTGCGAGAACTCCACCTTTTCCTCCTCTTTGTAGGCGGCAGGAACTGAGGAACCTGCCAGAACTGAATCAGAGGACCCAGGGGTATTTACCCGGCAGGGACTCTCCGATGCCTAAGTTAGTATTCTGATTGCAGAGAGCTTGGAGAGAAATGAGAGAGCTAGAGAGCAGGGATTACCTCCATTTTTCCATTCTCTCCCCCTTTTGTCTTTGGGGGTCGGAGTCCTTATATAGCGGTGTCCAGTCAAATCAGGCGTAACCACCTCTGTCAAGTCAGGCATAACCGCCTCTATCTCTCTGCCACAACCGTTACTACCAGAGCTGAGGTGGCAGGTGCAGGCAGCTGTTGCAGGGTACGACTCTACCAGGCAAGGGACAACTCTTAGGGCTGGTAGGCACGGCGCCGCCTGGCGAGAGATGTGGGCGCAGGTCTCCGGATTTGTCAGGTACGGTTGTCAGGCGGAAGATCTTCCTGCGATATGCCGAGCTGCCCCTGAGTGGCAAGCTACCTATGCCCTGCTGCCTGTAAGTGCCGAGCTCTTCGTAAGACGCCAGGCTGCCTATGGAGTGGTCGGCTGCCTGTGGCGAGCTGCCTATGCTGAGCTGCCCCTAAGTGGCGAGCTACCTACGCTGAGCTGCCTGTAGGTGCCAAGCTGCCCCTAAGTGGCGAGCTACCTAGTTGTCAAGAGGCTGCGCTTAGTTGGCATGAGGTGCCAGGTGTCATATTTTCACTTGAGGGCCAAATCCGCCCTCATCATTTGCCCCCCACTCCCGAGTTGAGAGTAACTCGGCGAAGGGAGTAGATTTCTCCTTTTGGCCCGTAAGTCAACAAGTTAGTAATCGTTGATCCAATTTCTTAGGCTCTAGGAGCTGCCTGTAAGTGGCGAGCTGCCTGTAAGGTGAGGAGGTCCCCGCTAGTTCAGTATTGTAGCCCTTAGGCTCTGGGGGCAACTTATAGTCCACTTTTGTTGATTTTTCCCATGCTGAAGAAGCGACTGGGTCTTAAGCAGTAATGTGGCCCGTAGGCTTTGGGAGCGACTCATAGTCCACTCTTCTTGATTTTGCCCATGCCAAAGAGGCGACTGGATCTTAAGCAGTTGTGTTGCCCATGCCGTAGAGGCGACTGGGTTTTTTAGCAGTAATGTGGCCCGTAGGCTTTGGGAGCGACTCGTAGTCCACTCTTCTTGACTTTGCCCTTGCCAAAGAGGCGACTGGGACTTATGTGGTGTCAGGCTGACCAGGTGCCGAGCTACCTGTGAGGTGCCGAACTGACCAGGTGCTGAGCTACCTATGAGGTGTCGGGCTGACCGGGTGCCGAGCTGCCTGTGAGGTGCCGAGCTACCTGTGAGGTGTCAGGCTGACTGGGTGTCGAGCTGTCTGTGAGGTGCCGAGCTGCCTGTAAGGCGCCGAGCTGCCGGTAAGGCGCCGAGCTAACCAGGTGCCGAGCTACCTGTGAGGTAACGAACTGACCAGGTGCCGAGCTACCTGTGAGGTGTCGGGCTGACCAGGTGCCGAACTACCTGTGAGGTGATTGCGCTGCGTCAGCCTCATAATGCCGGTCACCTACTCCTACAAGAAGCTACTAAAAGCTCGACCTTCAGGGGCAGCACTACTAACTTTAGGTCGCCAACTCACACGAGAGCCTTGGAAGGCTCGACCAGCAAGGGCGCCCGTGTAGTCTGTTGGCCGCCAACTCCCACGGAAGCCACGAAGAGCTCATCTTTGTAGGGGGGACCTCACAAAGAGGACTGACGAGGTTTTATCTAAATTGAAAGTAAAGTTGGTAGAGCTACTTAGCCTGTTAGCTCCCTGCATAGTCTTTGAGTTCATACAAAATGGAAACTATAAAGTGAGAGCTTCAGTTTCTAAAATGTTTGGACTTAGCTTCTTGGGAGGAGAGAACTTAGCCTTTTGTCGCGTGTTCCCATAGACGGCGCCAATTGATGTAACCGTTTTTGGTCACGTACCAATTTTTTTGGCTAAGTACCTCGTCATTTGACCTGCTCCCAGGAGAGGATGGTGGAGCTCCTTGGTGGTGAGCTACTTGGTGACGAGCTCCCTGGTGGTGAGCTACCTGGTGACTAGCTCCCTGGTGGTGAGCTAC